GGATGTTGACTTTTATCAAATACTATTTTGCATTTACCAAGGCCATATGCATATGTGGCAGGTGTGGAAATGAGTATATTAGCTTATGAAGATGGGGAATAATGTCAATACAATTTTCTATTAACAAATTATCCTTGTATTTCTAGAATTCTAATTGCTTTCTGCAATCAAAAATCACTATTTTTCCCTCCAGAAGTTGTACATATGTGAGGCACTATGGTTCTTCTGTCCTTTTTAAGAGTATTCTGAACAGATTTTTGGAGTGCATTGGGTTACTTTTGCTCAGAGCAGTGGAAGTTTTAGCAATTGTATTTTTAAGCTTCTTGCCTCCACTAGGGTTAGGCTGTTTTAGGCCCTTCCATGGCACTGTGGAAAGGAACATGAGGAAAACCAAGTAGGAATGAGGGGCCCCAGGTCAGGACCTCTGTGCAGCCTGTCTAAATTCAGGGACTCTGTACACCATTGGGTGTATGCAGCTAGCAAGCCCTGCGTTTGCCATGCACTGCCTGCTTTCACCCTCTACTTAGAAAATTCACCATTTTCCAAGACTTTACTAAATAATGTTTTACTTGTTGTCATCAATTAATCACCAGGTAGAAAGAAGGGTGTTGGCTCCTTCTCAAAAGCACCAAGCGGTCAGTTGTGCTAAGTGGCCGAGTGCACAGCCAGCAGGCTGCTCCCTTCTGCTCCTCAACATTCAAACCAGCCTTTTCAGCATTTGCTGCTATGTTCAGTAGCCTTTTTGATCAAGTTTATTTCCTACTCTGAGCTGAGTCTGTCAGCGAGAGGTGCTTAGCTCGTTGCTGAAAGGGGAGGGGAGTGGTGTATAAATAATGAGAACGCAGAGAAACTTGTGCTGTTAACAGCTCTGCTCCAGTAGAGTTTATTGTGTCACTGCCTCTGGGTGTGTTTTCCTGTGAAGGCCAGAAATAAAATACTCGTACATGTCTGTTCCCCACCCCCGGGGGGATGGTAACTCTCTTATTAATTTGAAAGGCATGTTTGAAGATTCTTTAATTGAAAGTTGCTCTGCCATATAGTTTGTTCAGTATGAGGAAAGTCAGTGCCCCTTTTGGACCTTAGCACAGAGCTGCAAGACGGGGTTTCTCTTGCCTACGCTCCCCCCAGCTGGCGACAGGGTAAAGGGCAACACACAGCCCCTCTTTTCCAACTCTGTTTCCCATGTCTGAGCCCATCTAGCTCCCAAATCTGTCCCAGTAGGACATATGGCTTTTCCATTCCATTCTTTCTTAGTTACAAACAGGTTTCATTTTGGGGGGGTACCAAAGTACGTGTCTATCCTTAACTAACTTGTTAAACTGTGTCCCATAGTAGGTTGTAGGCGAACTTTCCAGCAGTTAAGGAGGTAGGCATTTCAGAGCTGCAAACACTGGACCCAGAAGAACCTGGATCCCCTACAGACACACTGCCGGTGGGCACAGAGTCCTGAAAGTTCTGAATGCGCGTGCCCTCCAGAGTGGGGAGGTGGATCCCACCACTGCCGCTTTTCCGACACACCCAGCTCTGTGCCCATTTTCAGCTGTGTCCAGTGTCTGAAGATATTTAAGTTTCCAAATGTTGACAAACACCAGGGAGCAGGTCAATTTTACTAATCAAGATCAACTGTGTAAAGAACTAGATAGTAAATATTTTAGACTTTCTGAACCATCTGATCTCCACTGTTACACTGAAAACATAGGCCACAGATGCATAAATGAGTAGAACAATGTTCCCATAAAACTCTGTCTATGGACATGATAGCTGAATTTCATATACCTTACTTCTGACACATTTTTTTTTCCTTATCCATTTGTCAAAAACCAAATACAAGAATGATGTTTATGTCATTCATATCTTATGGACTTAACAAAAACAGATAACAGGTCACATTTGGCCATAGTTTGCTAACTAAAATTGATTTAGATCATTAACCAAACACTCCTAATTCTTTTCCAAAGCATCCCAGAAGAATCACATGATCCCAGAACTTCTTATTCTAGCAACTCACTTCCAAGTAGATTTTTAAAAACACTAAGAAACTGTAAGCTTGAATTATGTACTTTATATGAGCTTAACCAAGGCTGTGGTTCACTCTGATTTGTCCTGGACTCCGAGGGTAGCCCTCTCTTCTTTCTGAAATGCTCGGGGATAATGCTTGTTCAGTGGCAGCATCTGGATTAAAGCAACAAAAACAACCACAAAAAGCCAGCTCTGGGGGAAGGCAGTGAAGAGAGAGTAGCTATAAAGTAGATTGAAAGTGAATTCATTGGGACTAGACCCTGATGACACCATGATCTTATACTACATAAATCAAAAGCATAAATATGTAGTCGTTTTATGCCTACAGCAGTCTGAGGCTCGTGAACATTTTCTACTATCACTTCCAAAAAGCCATCTTCTGAAAACAGAATGTTTTATTTCTTTTCTAGCCTAGCAAACAGCAGGTCTTCTGGTTCACTTTCTCTGTTGTGGACACAGACCCATTCAAATAAGTTAGCATCCTCTTTTTGTGGCTCACTTGACAGAAACATGTGCTGGTGAGTAAGCTAAACCCCATTAACACTCCTCCAAGGAAACCACCTTTGGTGAGTTTTTTTTTCCAAACAAGCATTGAGAAAACACTGTGCATTTCCATTCCTTTCCTCACCACCAATAATCATAAAGTAGTAGAGCAAGGGGCCCCAATAAGGAGAGACTGCTTTGCTGTTATTTGCTGCTGTGTCTTTCCAGGCCAGAGCTCAGTGAGGTGTTATACCTAGACTAGCACATAGCAATTCTGCTGAGGTACATTCATTTGCCAATGTTGGGTTTCCCACAGAGCAAGTCAGTTGTATAGGGCAGCAAATAGAACCTTAGTCATGTAGATTGTAATGAAGATGGTAGAGATTTTGTCTTGTCATGGTCTATTTTCGCTTCTCTGGCACAGGTTGGTAGGTACTGGGAGAAAGCCTTTGAGTCTCTCTCTCTGGGTTTTAGGAATGTAAGAACTGGAGTGAAAAAGTAATTCCCTCCTCACCCATGGTGAGCATTCTGTGGAAATAGGTAGTCTCTGAAACAGCTGCTTTGAACTGTGCATGGAAGATGTGAGGAACAGGAAGGCAGTCATTCAAAAGAAGAATGAGCAAGGCTCATCCTAAATAGCCAGGTGTGGGTCCCTCCTAAATGCAAGGAAACCATCGAGAGTCTGGAGACCCCCAGTGCTGGTCTGATCACATTTGGACAATAGAATTTAGTGGAATAATTTAAGTGGAGAATTGCATGAATCCAAGGAATGTAACCAGAATGGTTACTTAGAAACTTGTCAGGGTGTCTCCTCTGTAAAATGGGCCACCTCTGTGGGCATTCTACAAGAGTTCAGTGAGATTGTACATGTGAAGACCTTAGCTCTGTGCCTGCACTTAAGCCATCTGTAATAGTTTTTCTTTTACAAAAATATGAAAGAAACTGATTATTTAGACTGAAGAAAGACATGATAGCTGTCTTTAGATATTTAAATGATCATTATGTGGTGATAGTGGTAGCATTGGGATATTTATGGTGTCTCAACCCTATAGGAATTACTTTTAATTTTCACAATGGCCATGACATATATTATCTTGACTTTATAGAAGGGAAAAATGAGCTTAAGCAAGATCTTGAGAAGAAATTTATATATACACACAATTGATGTAAAAAAGAAAAAAGACAAATGCCTGAGGCCCTATCCCAAACTTCCTATATTTATATTGCCAGAGGTATGGCCTAGGAAACTATAGACTGAACAAGAACCCACATATAATTCAATCATCAGAAAAGTTTGCAAGGACCCTCCCTGGTGGCCTAGCGGGGTAAAGCACAGCACTACCATGCTAGCCACCGCTACTTAGTATGAGTTCGATCCCCAGGAGGGAAGTGACCCACATGGCGCAGCAGACCTCTCTTGACCCGCCTGCTGCTCCCCTCTACAGTGTACTCCATTAATCTGCCTGTTCTTCTCCTCATTGTCTTTGATGAATCTTCTCATAGCTCCTGCACCTGTGGCCTGTACCCCAGTTCTGTATGCATAAATAAATCTTAAAAAAAAAAAAAAAAAAGAAAAGAAAAGTTTGTGAAACAGAACTCCAACCTCTCTATAGGTCATGAGAGGGCCGATAAAATCATCTTGACGAGCTACTTCACATATAGATTTCCAAGTCTCCCACTAAAATCTACTGAATTGGCATTTCTGGTAGCAGCTCCTGGATAGTGCATTTTCCCAGGCACCTGAAGTGGTGCCTATGGGTGACGCTTACTTACCAGCCTTCCTGTAGAGTGTGAGCTACTGGTCATGATGGGGCCAGGGCAGATTGCTCCAGGTGGCAGGCGAGGACGCAGATAAAAAAGCACAACTTCCTCTGTGGGCAGCCAACGAGCCGATCCCTTTTCTTCAATTTTCTTCATGCAATGCCAGGTCATAGACATCTCAGTTTTTACATATTACCCTCCTCCAGAAGCACCAACTTTCTGACAGAGGCCTTCCTGCTATTGGCCGTGTCCTTCCTTTCTATAAAATCTAAACACAATAAAATAATGAAATAAAATACAGGGTTGGTATGTGGCAGAGGGAACAAACTTATTTTTAGTGTTAAGATAATATGGCTTAAAATATGGGCCTCTGCAGAGAGGCAGATTTCACATCAGTAAGGGTGTCTGTGACACAGATGCTCAAGAACAAATGGATTTTCTTGTCAAGTTGGTGCCTGCCATCACTTGATTTGGTCAGACACCAGCTGGGTGTCGAGAACACCAGGACACAGGAAAAATGCCTATTCAGATGAGAGGCTGTTTGGACGAGATGCCTCAGTTCTCTTCCATCTTGATGATACCAGAGGATTTAACAAAAAGCTAATTAAAACAACAACAAAACCCTGAGAGCTCACAAGCTATAACCCAACACGGAAAGGTAATTTCCAAGGCTTTTTGAGGATACGTCAGATACAAAGTAAGCAAGCTCTTGGTTTAAAGGTGATTCTCTTTTGCAGCTTCTTCAAGAATTGCCCTAGTCTGCTCCAGCTGCTATAACAAAGATCCACATCTGGATAGCTTAAACAGAAACGTATTTCCTCACATTCTGGAAGCTAGCAGTCCGTCATTAAGGTGCTGGCAGGGTTAGTGTCCTCCCGGGTCTCTCTTTTGGGCTTATAAATGGTCTGAGTTCTCCCTTCACCTGGACTTCCTCTGAATTCCAGCCCCTCTTCTCATTAGGACAGGACAGGAGTTGGATATGGGCGCACTTAACCATAGTGTCCACTTTAGAGATTTTGTCTTCAAATATAGTCACTTCCTGGGGGGGGCTAGCATCCCAAAATATGAAGGGGTGGAGGGTGGGGAGAAGCACATGCCCCTGACACCGGAGGATTTATCCTTTGGCTTGTAGGGATTCTTGATCATGACCAGCCTTCAGCATTGCTGTTGCGTGTTCTTTAAACTGTGTCCTGTCTTGGTTCCCTTCTCTTAGGTGAGCGGCCCTTCCCCTGCACATGGCCAGACTGCCTTAAAAAGTTCTCCCGCTCAGACGAGCTGACCCGCCACTACCGGACCCACACTGGGGAAAAGCAGTTCCGCTGTCCGCTGTGTGAGAAGCGCTTCATGAGGAGCGACCACCTCACAAAGCACGCCCGCCGTCACACGGAGTTCCACCCCAGTATGATCAAGCGGTCGAAAAAGGCCCTGGCCAACCCTTTGTGAGGTGCTGCCCACGAAAGCCAGGGAGGGATGGACCCCAGAAGGACAAAGTTACTCCCAGCAAACAGACAGACACATGGAAACTAAGCCCCAGAAGAGGCACGCTGACAGCACAGGAAGTCACTGTTCTTTGGTCAATATTCTGATTTTCCTCTCCCTGCATTGTTTTTAAAAAGCACATTGTAGCCTAAGATCAAAGTCAACTCTTGGTCCCCTTACAGAGGCAACTCTGCACTGTCTCTGACTGTTGGAGGGAAGGCAAATGCTTTTCTTTTTTCTCCTTTATTTTGGGAGGGGGGTGGTGGGTGGGGGGAGGGGTAAGACCAAGACTGGGGTAGAATTTTAAAGATTCAACACTGGTGTACATATGTCTGACTGGGTGAGTTGACCTGTGGACCCCACAGTGATTCTGGGCCCCTTTGCTTGCTCTGTCTCAGAATTGTTTTCTTACCTTTTAATGTAATGACGAGTGTGCTTCAGTTTCTTTAGCAAAACCACTCTCTTGAATCACGTTAACTTTTGAGATAAAAAACGCCATAGCACAGCTGTCTTTATGCAAGCAAGAGCACATCTACTCCAGCATGATCTGTCATCTAAAGACTTGAAAACAAAAAGTTACTTATAGTCAATGGGTAAGCAGAGTCTGAATTTATACTAATCAAGACAAACCTTTGAAAGGTTACATACACTAAGTACAGAACTTTTAAACCTTGCTTTGTATGAATTGTACTTTTTGAACATAAGCTGCACTTTTATTTTCTAATGCAGAGGATGAATAAGTTAAATACATGCTTTAAGGGTAGTAGCGGACATTCTGTTTGGAACCACGTTATAATCTGCTTATTTACAGTATTCACATTTCCCTAAGAAATCATGGCAGAAATGTGAGGGCAGAATATATATTACAGATGCTGAAGGAGGAGGGTAGTATTTAAAATATATATGTTAAAAGAACAAACAGAATTTTAACTCTATTAACTTTTCCAAATTTTCCAAGCCTTTTAGTTAACGTCATCTTATTGTACCATAATGCTAGAAGGGAGAGGGCTTTGACTCTGTTGGGTTTTATTTGAATGGGTGCATAGCAATCTTTAGTTCTGGCAACACCTATTTTTTTGGGTATAGGTTTGGTCTCCGTCCTGTGTTCCTAAAAAAACTCCCACTAACAGGTGCAAGAGTAGTGTAAAAGGAAAAGGGAGCTGAAATGTGAAATGAAAAATATACCCCATGTGTAGTGAGTGCCAAGGGAAAATACCATGATTTCAGAGGAGACTCTGTGCAAAATCCTCCCTTTTGGAGAAAGAAAGTGTAAGGAACAGATTTGAATGAAAACACATCACTGTATCTTTACATCAGAAGCCTCACCACTATGTATCTTGTATCCAGGTGTCTACAATGGCCTAAACCACTACATCCATAATATGCCATGTACCTGAAAACATCATTTTGGCCTTTATGTGGTCAGAAAAACAAACTGAGTTTTCATAGCTAAGAAGAAACCTCAAATAGGAGAGTCAGCTGTGATCGTGGGGGAAATGTTTACATTTTTTTCTTCAGAAATAACACTTTCTGACAATTTTATCTGATACTCAAAACAGGGAGCTATGGTGCACTCTAGTTTATGCATGTGCTGTAAGACGTGTCGTGTAAACGCAGGGTGCTACCGACCAGCGAACTGGGTATCTCTTGACATCTGCCCATTTCCGGTTCAGAACCAGCGTGGGCTCCTGCAGCAGGCGCGGCTCACAGCTGACTCCGACTTCCAATACAATAGCCATCACTTGCACGGTGTGTGTTTTACTTTATTTTATTTTATTTTTTTGTTTAACCGACGTAGTTGTATTAGTGGTTCTATAAAGAGAACTGCTTTTAACATTAGGGACTGGGAGCAGTCCATGGGAGAAAAAGGAGAGTGTTTTCTCACCGGAAAACATGTCAGGAAAAATAAAAGAACACTTTCTACCTCTGTTTCAGACTTTTGAAACGCTTATTTTAAACCAAATTTTCATTTCTGTGTCCAAAATAAGTTTTAAGGACATCTGTTCTTCCATATGAAATAGGTTAGGCTGCCTATTTCTTACTGAACTCATGGAATGGTTCTGCTTGTGATCCTCTGCACGCTGCCTTTTAGTGAGTGAGGAGTTTGGGGTTGCCTAGCAACCCACTAACTTGTACAAACTCATCTTTCCCTCACAGAGAGAAATGAAGGAAAACCAAGCAAAGTCAGTGAAAGACAATCTTTGTAGTTTCAGGAGTAAATCTATATGTGGCTTTTGTCCAGCACTTAGATGGATGTAAATGCAGCAACTTGTTTAAAAAAAATGCACAATTCCCTTTCCCCCCAAAGTTGCTACTTGCCTTTCAAGTTGTCGAAGAACACACATTTGATATTCTCTTATATGTTATAGTAATGTAACGTATAAACTCAAGGCTTTTTATTCTTGTGATAAATCCTGTTTTAAAATGTCACAAAACAGGAACCAGCATTCTAATTAGATTTACTATATCAAGATATGGTTCAAATAGGACTACTAGAGTTCATTGAACACTAAAACTATGAAACAATTACTTTTTATATTAAAAAGACCATGGATTTAACTTATAAAAATCCAAATGCAGGATAGTAATTTTTGTTTACTTTTTTAACCAAACTGAATTTTTTGAAAGATGATTGCAGGTGTTTAAAAAGAAAGAGAAGTTGTTTTATCTAATAGTGTAAGTAGTTGTCATACTCTGGAAAATTTAATAGTTTTAGAGTTAAGATAATTCCTCTCCTTGGTTAGGGAAGAAGAAAGCCCTTCACCACTTGGAATGATGCCCTGGCTTTAAGGTCTAGCTCTACATCATGCTTCTTTTGAGAATTATATTTGGTAGTTATAATTACAGAAACTGATTAGGTGTCAGTTTGCAGGTAGATTTTAGCACAGTACTCATCACTCTGGATAGATTGAGATGTTCTTTCACAACAGATGAATGATCTGTAACACTGTAAGATACTGATCTTTACAACTGTTTAATCAGTTTTATTTTTGTACAGTATTAGTGACCTAAGTTATTTTGCTGTCCTGTTTTTGTAAATCAAATGAAATTATAAGAGGATTCTGACAGTAGGTATTTTGTACATATGTATATATGTTGTCAAAATAAAAATAATAAATGATAAAGATCGAATGGTTTCAGCCATTATGTCGCACAGGGGGCATAGTTTGCCATCATGGAAGTTATTTGTTTAACCTGTACCATGGGATTTTATGGTAATCACAAAGATGGTTTTACTGCATGGCTTTGAACATGCACGAGATTCAGACCTGTGTGTATTTACTCTTCACAGAGCTCTGAGGAAGTAGATGAACAGAGACTGTTTGAAACCACTCCATCATGCTGGATGGGGATGTTCATATTTTCAGGTAAATCACTGAAAAGAGGTTTTTAAAGACTGGGAGTGGTCAGAAAATGTTAACTCAGATATGCATTTAAGTAAGAAGCCTGTAAGTGGAGGTCTGAGGTGGGACAGAAGAACCACAGAGCCACGTGAAGATGAACAGCACAGTGTGTGTTTGACTTATATAGACATGTACTAGTTGTTAGTTATTATTGATCTTATTGATGCTAGCCATAGTGCCAAGTGGGTTTAGGTTTTCTTATTTAATCCTTGCAGCAGCTTGTAAAGCAGATACTATTGTCATGCTCATGTTTCAGATGAAGAAATTGAGGGCCAGCTAACTTGCCAAGAGACATAAATAATAAGTAGTAGGCATGGTATTTAAACCTGGATGGCTGAACCCAGCCCTCCATCTTTCTATGCCTGCCGCAGAGGATTTACTGAATGTCATTTTCATTTGACTCATTTTATTAAGTACTTGTTAATGTCAGGTAATTGTCACTGGAGACACAAAGTTAAAAAAAAAAGTGAAGGGGCCCTCCCTGTTGGTGCAGCCCATTACAGCACAGCACTAAGAAGCTAAAGCCACTTCAGCATTAGTTTGATCCCTGCCCCAGAGGTGACCCACATGGCGTGGCAGATCTCTCCTGACCCACCCGCTGCTCCCCTCAGCAGTGTACTTCATCAGTTGGCCTATTCTGCTCCCCATTCTGTCTCTGGTGAATCCTCTCACTGCCCCTGCACCTCTGGCCTGTACCCCAGTTCTGTATACATAAATAAATAAATCTTAAAAAAAAAAAAGTCAGAAAGACTACTTTAGGTTGAGTCTCATTTGGATCAAAAAACATAATTGTGTGTGTATGCATGTGTTTATGCATATTTCATTGGAGGATCACTTTAACTGAGATTAAACAAATTCATTAGTGGATATAAACAAGACAAAGGACAACAAAAATAACTCAGGAGTAATACTGGTAGAGAAAATAACAAAATTTAAGAAGACAAGAATTGTGTAAAAGAAAATTACTGTCTGTACATTCTATACTGATCATATAACAATGCTATTAACACTACATTAAAATATATAAAATATTAAAATATATAAAGCAGGAGCCTTTAATGAAAGCCAAATCTTACTCAAAAATATTTTTTGTAAACATGCACAAATATCTAGAACTGTGCAAAAATAAAGACTAACAAAATTACAAGTACCACACCAGACTACCTTCTGACCATCAGTCAAGTGAGCAATTCATTACAAAAGGATAATTTTTTTTCAGTATATTTAACATTTATCTTAGTTTTTCTAATAGAACTGTCAGTGAAGTCCTTAATGTTACATGAAATTGGCTTTCCACAAATTCTAGAATTAGGGCCTTCCCGGTGGCCTAGAGGTTAAGGCTCAGCACTATCATAACTGCAGCCCAAGTTCAATCCCTGACCAGGGAGCTGACCCACAGATGGTGCAGACCTGTCCAGTCTCACCCGCTGCTTCCCTATACAGTGTACTTCATTGATCTGCTTGTTCTGCTCCCCACTCTGTCTCTGGTGAATCCTCTCACTCCCCACACCTCTTGCCTGTACTTAAGTTCTTCCATGTAAAAAATCTTTAAAAATAAATGAATTACAGACCAATCTCCCTAATGAACACTGACGCAAAAATCCTCAACAAAATCTTAGCTAACAGAATCGAACAATGCATTAAAAGAATAATACACCACGACCAAGTGGGCTTTATCCCAGGAGCACAAGGATGGT